CAACAACAAAGCAAAAGCCAATAATTGATCGTCCAAACCTCGTGATGTATTTCGGGACCAAAACAAGCCGTCAGACGAACGCTTAGCTAGCTAGTGATCGTGCACGTGACACGACGGGGTACCAAATGGCGGGGATGCTTGACCGGAAGCCTTCAGTCAAACAAGTCGACTTAAACAGTTGTGGTCAGCATCCAATGGTGAGTGATTGCTGTGGTCAATAATTTTGGGGAATTATTTACCGCTACAAAGTCTTTCAGTCACCGTTTTCACATGCTCGGTTTCGTCTGCACTCGCAATTAGTAGGTCGTCACTGTATGCGTAGACGAAAGGCAGGCCACGGAGTACTTGGGACGTTGAAATGTCTAAGCGGCGTTCATCAGCCCGAAAGGCATGCGTACGAATTCGTATAAGCCGAACGGCGTGGTGATAGCAGTTTTTAGAACGTCATCCGGGTGGATGGGAATATGATGGTACGCTCTGATAAGGTCGAGTTTGGAGAAAATTTTAACCTCTGGGAAGTTGCTGGCGAAATCGTGAACATGCGGTATGGGGTACCGATCAGGTACCGTTTGCTTGTTTAAAGCTCGATTATCCCCACACGGCCGTATCTCACCAGAAGACTACTGGGGTACCATGTGCAACGGTGAAGACCAAGAGCTGTTGGATGGTCGAATAATACCGAGCTCTAACATTTTATCGAACTCTGTTTTTGCGATTTTAAGTCGATGTGGGTCAAGGCGTCGGTGACGTGCAAAAACTGGTGGTCCAATGGCTTTAATGTGATGAACCACGTGATGCTTTAGTTCTGTTGTTCGGAAAGAGTATTGTAGAAGGTCAGGAAGCTGATTTACCGAGTCAGTATATGGAGATGCTGGTGTGCGTGTGACCACCAAGTTAAACGATGATGCACGGCTAATCGCACCGGCGATGTACTTTTTATTGAGCGAGTCTATTAACTTAGGGCTTATTGGATCAACTAGCAGTTTGTGTTGCTGTAGAAAATCGATACTGAGGATTGGGGATGAAACGACCAAGTGTAGGTATTCTGAAGACCAAAGTCTAAAGTCATTCGTTTACTTCCATATGTAACAATATTAGACTTATTAACGGCTTGGAGCGTAACTGCAGGGTCAGGATGTTGACATTCCTGCGTAGACGGAGGGAGAACATTAACCTCTGCTTCTGTGTCGACTAAGAATGTAGTACCGGTGTGTCTATCTGTTACATAAAACAAACGACTGCCAGATCGTAGAATACGGACAGTAGAAGTTTTCATACATGACGATACATCTTTTGGTTTAGCCTGAAAGTTGCAAGGTGAACGACACCGTCGTGCATTGCTTCCGTAACTACGGTGGTACCAGCAAATATTATTGTGATTTTGTGACATGGTAGGTGACCGAGAAAGACGTCGACGAGACGAACTTCCAGAACGGCTTGGTCGTGTGCGTGTGGTCAGTGTTGCTAACTGACTCAGTAAGGTGTCGACTTTGTGTTCTGGAGTCTGTATCCTGCCGTAAGTGTCCGGTATTCTGCTTGTGGAAGCAACAGTTGAGGTGTTGACCTCTCGTACATGCTATCTGCGCTTCAGCAAGTTTCTTTATGTCAATGTTTTCGTCTCCGAAAGCAAGAACTTGCTGAATGTGTGCAGGCAGTCGTCGCAGCCAGATTTGGTAAAAGAGACGTTTATCGATTTCTCTTCCTGCTACTAGGCTTTGCATATGCTTCATGGGTTGCGATGGGGTTTTATCACCTAGCTTTACATTGCTTAACAAACGGTCGAGTGCTTGCCTGTCTGAAAGCGAAGTGCATCGAAGTACCTCTTACTTCAACTTGTCGTACGGAGCGTCTGTGCTGCGTTGAACTTTGTGTTGTCGAACCTGCTTGGCGGTTTCGTCTGGTAGTACTGTACTCAAAATGCTGAATTTAGCCGTCTATGATGTGAGCTTATTGACAGTGAAGTAACGTTCCGGTCGTGCAAACCAAAGATGGGGGTTTATGGGCTTAAAAACTGGTACAGTAAGAGAAATAGTATTAACAGATCCCAGCTCTAAGTTATAAGAGGTATTGGAAGACATGTTACAATTCGTAGAAAAATGGTTTAAGAGTAACAAAATACCAAAAATTATGCACACTGAGAATATGGCAAAACAGAAAAACATGCAATGCAGATGCTTACCACAGATTACTGCAGAATGTGTGATGAGAAAGCACAAGAATGGGTTTGAAATATCTATAATATAGATACATATATATGTATAAATACAGAGAGAGATCCGATAAGTTTAGAGTGTTATTAATCCAGCAAGTGTGTTGATGCCTTGGGGTGAACAAGTTATCGTCGGATTCACCAATTGGCTGCGTGCGTTATCTGACTAAATCGGCGTACACCTATTTCCTAGTACTCCTTCAATTTTATCAATGTTCTCAGACGTTGTGGCTACTCGACGCCCACAACATAAAACCAAACGTCACTTGCGGAGAGTACGATTGTGTATTATAGCCGTAATCAAATTTTAAAATTGTGTCAAGGTAATGTTCAACAGTAAATTCACAAATGTTTGCGAAGTATATATAAAATCGGTCTGTGTACACATACAATACAAGTATACAAATTAGATCAAGAAGCATGTTTGCTGTTGGTATAGGGGTACTACACTCGCAGTGTCATAAACTCCTGGAACCAACTCCCAGGGTTCGGAAAAGCACTAAATGTTATCAGGAAAGGATTAAAGTAGGCTCCAAGCCTTCCATCCTCAACCAAAATGTATGACACCGGTGATTCGGATTTGACCAGTCGAAAAAGAATATTATTTTTCAGCCACTTGCCAAGGACCGATCATAATATAATATTTTTCTGGAGTCAACTACTCTTTTCAGGCTGTTTGAATTCACTTGTGCGGGATTAAAATTTAAAGTATGCGACACAAATAATTCGCTAGCTTATAGAGCATTTTGTCTCCATGCTTATATAGCTGGGTTGCTCGTTGGAAGTGCATCAGAAGTCTGAGAAACGAGGCACCTACATGTAAGTTCTTAACAGCTAAAGGAACTCTGCAACATGATTAAACTGCAAAGATGATAATTCCGTAAACGATTCCCCCAGTTTTTAGGGCTTATGGTGGTCGCAGATGATACCAAACCAGTCTGAGCAGGAATACAGCCAGTCAGAGCCTACCCTACTCAGAATTCTTCTGGCACAGTGATTAGGACTCTCGCCTACCATACACATGGTCCGACGTTCGATCCCCTGCCGACGAACACCTGATATCTATGGTCGGCCTGCAAAATTTGGGCTACCGATATCCATGCTTGTACCAAAAATACAGTGTGGAATCAAGCTGTAATAAAAAAACAAATATTTTATTTGAGTAGGCTGGGTTGCCGTTAATTCAGCCCACACTAGTGAGGAAGGAACATAACACTTACAGCCGGTGGATTTAATAACGATGGTACGAAAAGAGTTTAAAGACACACAATCACGCCATAACGTAGAAGCCGCGCTCTTGTTCCTTGAAAACCCAACAGTTCACAATCAGCATAGGTAAAAAACTGAATGTTAAGAGAAATTTCTGAGATACAACTAAATTGACAAACTTCCCTAATTACCTAAAATAAAATTCCCCTGTCAAGCCCGAAGAACATTTTGATCAAGAAATCAACATCGCATGAGATGCAGTTAAACGTGTACAACCATCTATAGACTATATAGGATAGCTATAACTGCAAGAAACAAGAATTGTGGTACCCAACTAGGTGAATTATCTATTTGAATTCGTCAGATATGACGGCGTTCGTTAAGCCATGCGAACGCTTTGTGACGACCGCTTCGAAATACTTTGCAAAACTGATTGGATAATTTCTACAGAAAGATTACTGAAGCTACATTGTGTAATTACTGGAGGAGCCGGGCCTGTGTAGAATACAAGCATAATAGTGTGTTGGCGTTCAATTTTGAAATGGTTTCTCTTTTCTGTCGGTGTATTCTGTTTACTATCCACCCTAAGTCAATGATTGTTCGTCTGTTATGTACGATCTCGTACATGGTTATTATGGAATATATGTGTTTCTTATTACATCCATTTTGTGACCGATTCGGCTGCGCTTCATTTTCAAAGTGGATTTTCACAGTCTGACAAAATTCCTTTGGTAAATTTGTTACATTAAATCAAGTGCCTATCAATGACGATGTCAACGATATGGCCCAATGGGATGTCACTCGCCCTAGTGACAGTTCTCAGAGTTTTACGAAGTATGACGTAGTCTTTTTTAAGCAATCCAGGGAAGAATAAGGGTGAAAAGTAAAGAAGAATAGGTGAAATATACGAGTTGACAAACTGTAAGAGGAGTGGTTGAGTTATGCCTGAGTGCCTTAACTTCTTAACGTAAAAAGTCAGACAAAACATTCTTTTTAAAAAATAGGTAAGACATGGAAAGGCCAGGATAGGTCAGAAGAAATAATTAATCCAAGATACTTAACGTCAGACTTGACTTCATCATTATCATCAATTTTGCAACGGTGTTAGGAATCAACAGTTTTATTTGCATTTCTTTTACAATGGAAACTGAGATTAACAGTCTAACATTTGCAGTTGAATGTCAGAGTTATCTTTAGAAAACCTTCGCCGAACTTTCTTAAGTAATGTGTACTGTCAAAGATTTATTGACAGAAACATCAAGCAACTGTCTCCAGCAAAATTATATTGTCAAAAAAGACACTGTTTACGAATTTGATGTTCAAAGATGAGACTAGTGCTTAAGTAATTAAAAGTTGTTTATCTAAATGTATTAAACGATGCTTCTATGGCGTCGACTTCCATTTATGTGTGTGATATGTCCACCTAATAAACGAATTAATATGGAATTACATACACTCCCACAGTGACAAAATTTTACGCATATATTAACTCTTCTTGCTATTTATTTATTTATTTATTTAAACGCATAAAAACTTGGTACAATATGGCACCAAGAAGGATGCGCCACACAATAGTAATAAAACAACATAGATCAAAAGAAAAAAAATATATATATATAAGTAGAGAACAGATAAAGAACTTCATCTGGAAGGAAAACAGTCATGCTTAACAAGATCAAACAGTATTCGTTAACTATCATCGAGAAGGGAAGAAAAAAGGAAATTGCAACACGTGTAATGGCACGCAATAAGTTTCATTGATTGTTTGTTGCTTTATTCAATTCATTGTGTGACGGCTGAGATACTGCCCGGGCGCCCAAACCGAAGAAGGTGGTTTTATTAAGGCACCACTCCCCGAGCCTTTGATTTAGAGTCTAATCCGCAAGGCAGCGGAGCAGCATTCCCATGGTTGACGGTGACCCATATGGGTTTATACGCCATTTGATCCGATTGGATACTGGAGCCCATGTACCTCATGGTAACTGCTTTTAGTTTAACCGATATCCAAACAACCTTCCTGACATGGTAAGACCTGCAGGGGCAGGTCCCAGTCAGTTTAGCATGTTGCGACATTACGGTATTCAAGCCCGACCACCACGACAAGGTAGCAGTTATCGGCTGTACAATTTCTATTGAATATTGACAATGATAATAACAGACACCAAAAATGCAATAAAACATCAAAGAAGCAGATCTTCTCATCAATAGATTTATTACAAAGATACTGTACACTGGATTCATTCAAAGCTTGAAATATTCTTCCTAGAAATAGGAGGGAGTGTTATATTGAAATTATGAAGCGCTATTGGACAGTTCCAGTCGACTGATTTATTTCAAGTTGAATTATGCAAGAGAATAAGCCTAAAATAGCGAGGGTAAATTAAATGCTGATGCAAATTTCAGACAATGACTGCGGCATTTACACAGGCTCTTTTATTTCCTAAAATTATAGAAAGAAATTATAGAAATGCTTCAGCTCTTATCAAACCACTTGAAAGATGTTAATTAAAAATTATAATTTATACAAGTAGAATTATTCGGACAAAGATTTGACAAGCGAAACTATTTATAGAAGTCAAGTGCTAATAAGACTGCACATTAACCTACTCGGAAGCCAGGTTAAAACTTGGGATACCAAAACCCTCCAGCAATACAATACATCGCGTATACATACACACGAGGGCCAGGCAACAAATCAAAAGATATTTGTAGTCAAGTACTGGTTTGTAGGGATTTAGTTGATTGGTTACAGGATTTCATCATGAGCTGACATTGGTTAGAGAACCACTGGAAAACCTGGGAGTACTGGACAGTTGTTTCGTCCTAATTTGGGACCTTTTAACCAGAAGACCCTGGGTTCGAACCCCGGTGGGCGTGTACTGCTGAAGAGTCCCAAACTAGGACGAAACAGCTGTCCCGTATTCCCAGGTTTACCAATGGTTCTCTAACCAATGCCAGCTCATGACAAAGATATTCATAGGTTTTTATGTACATTACTGTCAGCGGAGAAGCAACGTCTTCTGATTGGTTGTTTTCTTGCTGAACGTTATTCTGCTTGTGACCCTTTTTCTTAAATAGTCAGGCAACGCATAACTACGAATCGTATTTGCACGTGTTAAATCTGCTGTGATTGGTTATTGAATTCCCCAAGGTTAGGCTTTGTTCTTGTTGTTTTTCTCAAGGCTCAGATTCGGAACGAAAACACATTGACGTAAACTTTTGTATATATTAAATATTCCTATAGTAAAATTTAGAATAACACATTTAAGGGAACAATATTATGATTTCAATTAGATCTCATCAGGCTTAACTCTAATATACCTACGTAATTTTACAAATAAAAATTCAAATATAAACCAATCCTCATGGTGTTTTGTCTATAGGATAATACGATGGTGAATATAAATTGTGCAATCAGTCACAATAGTAGTAATGATAATATTAATAATACTACTACTAATAATAACGGTCTTATCAATAATAAGGATGAAAAAATGAGGCAATCTGTGATAACACGAATAATGAAAAACAGTATGATTAAACAAACAATCGTTCAGGTGGACATAGTAGTCGATAAAGCCTAGTAAAAACAAATGAACCGATTACGTAATGTTAGATTGTAAGGGAAGGAAATGAAACACGTTTATAATGAAGATAAGATTAAGGGATGATAAGAAAGGGGTTGAAAAAATATAAATAAGGGGTGGTGTAGAAGTCTTTAGTTGGTTATGTCTTATTAGACCAAGGGAGGGATAATGACTGTACGAACTTCTTTTGAATGCATAGTTTAGGTTTAGTAGTTCGAATGCCTATCGCCTCAGCTGTGTGCAGTAGACGAATACGAAGTCTATTAGAAAGATTCGGTGGGATATGATGTATTACTTGGAAGGCTTTCGTTTTCTCGACTACATGACCACTTATCAAATGTGACAGAATTGAGCTACGGATTGTTTTTATCATTACTACTATTATGACTAATTGCACAAGTTATATTCACCATCGTCTTATCCTATAGACAAGACACCATGATTGGTTTATATTTGAATTTTTATTTGTAAACTTATATATATATATATATATATATGAGTTAAGCCTGATGAGATCTAATTGAAAACAATATTGTTCACTTAAATGTGTTGTTGTAAATTTTCGTATACAATTTCGGCTAGCAGACAGGTCTCACTATAAACACATTATCACGATGATGATTCCTGACCGAAAGCAACAATAACAGAAATCTGAAAGGAGCAACCTCCTTCAACCACCTATCTACCTACCTGGGAACCATCGTTTCAACTACAGATGGATGGAACTGACGGGGATATCAAAGCAAGGATCAACGGGAAAGCAAGACAAGCTTTCATTACTCTCAAGTCTGTGTGGAGGTCAACAGCACTCAGTATCAAAAATAAAATCCGGATTTTCAACTCCAATATGAAGTCAGTGCTAGTCACTATATGGATCAGAGACTTGGCGCGTCATGAAAGCACCTCAAACAAACTCTACACAACTTCATCAACAGCTAGCTGTCTTCGCTCAATAATAAGATTAGATGGCCAGAAAAGATCAGCAATAGTGAGGGATTTCTGGGGACGAACCAATCTAGTAAGGACCGAGTGTGCAACAAATAAGCAGGAAGAAATGGAGATGGATTGGCTTAGCCATACTCTGAGAAAACAAACCATCATCAAGTGACACCACATGACAGGCCGTCACTCGAGTGGAAGGCGAATGGTAAGCTGTGAGTCAGCTGGTCGTCAGTGCGAGGATGACATGGAGGAGGCGGTGATTTAAAGAGGAGATGAGATCATGTGGGTGGGTGGACGTGAAGCCAGGTGAAGACGTTAGCAGATAACCGAACTCAATGAAGACGTGTGATTGAAGGCCTATGTTCCTCTAGGAATTAAAGAAGATAATAATAATAATCATGGAGCATGAAAAGAGTGTGGCACATTCAACTGTTTTATCGATTAAACTGATAACAAAAATACAATACCTTCAATATCCGACCAACCATATACAAACTACCAGTGACAAATATATGACAATAGTGTGCAGCATTATTCCCAACAAGATTATCTGATATGCTTGTTTGATCAGACGAATACGACTGTAAATCTTCGACAGAGAAATACGCCTTCTGATGAAGCCAATTCAAGAAATCAGATATAGATTTCATGTGCTTGACGACAGATTGACATGATGTCTTGTCAGTGTTGTTCAACTCTGATTTGAACTGAGACCAAATCTTAAAGCATAATTCATCATGTGATTCTTTGCTAGGAAGAATATCTAATTGGGATAAAGCAAAGAAAAAACAATAAAAATAAGTTAGCTTAAATTTCTTCGCCAAATAATACATTACATTAAAGTGATGGTTGTTTGCAAGAATTTGATTATTTTCAGTATTTCATCGTGACCTGCTTTGGTGGAATTTTATGCCTGTTTCCTGACTGCCCGTTGTCTGTCGCATTATCTAACCTACCGCAATCAGGAAAATGATTGGCGATAGTAGACAGCCTTGTCTTACTCCTGTCTTAACTTCTTCGAAGGATTCGGTAAGTTCCCCGTTGTGGATTAGTAGGCATTCAGCATTGTCGTACAACTGTTGGATGAGATGTATAATTATCGGCGGCATATATATGAATTTGCTTGTGCTTGTGGAAGCAAATACATGTAGGCCGGTACAGAAAGGTAGATTGTCTACTTGTCACATGATGAAACATTTGCCACGGTGGTTGAAAACAAATGAATGGAAAGTGATTCAGAGTTCAGAAACAAATCTACTTTTGGACCTAGGACATGATATTGACGCGATGTCAAGTCATTCGTATTCTTTTCCAACACTCCTATATATTCCGAGTGGAACATATGCGGAGAGTGAGTAGGGCTAAAGCTTACTCCTCGCAGTTTCAATAGCGTTAGGGTTTTTTACGGGATGAAGTTGCTAGCTTCACGTCAAACTTTTCCTTTTTTTTCAGACATGCAACTGCCTAAGTGACGTACAGAAATACATCTCGTGTGTGGTTGGTGATCTGTACGACTGAACCATCGACACATGAATGATACGTTAGGATTATCAATATTAGTTTACCATATTGCTCAGATGAACCCTGAGGATGTCATCCCTAAAATAAAAATAGCACTAAGTGGCATAGGCAAAACAATAGATGACGAAGTACGGGAACAATGTGCACTGACATCAAGACGACAAAAACGTGGAAAACCTAACCTGACAAAACCAGAGATAGAAGCCCTGAAACACCTTAAGAACAATAAGGACATAGTAATCACAAAGTCAGACAAAGGGAATGCAACAGTAGTATTAGACAAACAAGACACGATCATATGAGAAAATAAATAAAACAAAAGACACAGTTATGAATAAAGTTAAAGAATCCACAGCGGACCTTATACGCCGAATGAAGCCGTTTCTAAGTGAATCTAAATGGTTTAATTTAATGCCCATGACTAATCACTCCAGCAGGATGTATGGTGTTGTTAAACTGCATAAGTTAGAATACTCTGTTAGACCTATAGTTGATTTTAGAAATTCACCTAATTATGAATTATCTAAATATTTAGCCATGGTATTAAGTCCCCTAAAAATCCACTCGAAATCTAGACTAACAAATTCTTATGAACTAAAACACAGATTAGATAATTTAAAATTAGATAATGAAGACAAAAATGGTTAGTTTTGACATTGTCAGTTTATATACACGTATACCAATAAATATGGCTATAGAGGCAATCAGAAACGAACTCATTTCTGACCAAGAACTTGAAATTAGGACAAAAGTGCCACTTGAGGACATAATGCTGGGAGTGCAGCTTTGCCTGACTTCTACAGTATTTAAATTCCAAAGGAAAATTTACCAACAAACTGAGGGAGTCTCCATGGGATCACCAATATCCCCGGTTGTAGCAGATATATTCATGGATAGGTGGGAAAAGATAGCGATTGAAACGTTCACCCCCACCCCAAAAGTATGGTGGAGGTATGTAGATGACACATTCACTGTGCTCAGAACACAGGATATAGAAAGATTTTTCGAACACATCAACTCAAAGGTGGAGGCAATTCAATTCACTTATACATTGGAATGTCAGGAACTCAGGGAGCTTCCAATGTTAGATTGTAGCGTAAAAAGGAAAGAAAATGAGAAGTTGAACACATACTAGTGTGTTTACAGAAAACTCACACATTCAAACAGATATTTCGACTTCCGATCATCCCATCCTATGTCAGTGGAAATAGGATTGGTGAAATGTTTAAGTGACAGAGCACAAAAACTAAGTAGTACCAAGAAAAATCTAAGACAGGAAGTGATAAACATAAAATAATCCTTGAAACTTAAGAATTTCCCTGATAAATTAATAAGAAAGTATGTAGGGAAATGTAAAAATAAAATAAATAATGATATTGATAATTGTAATATTAATGACGACATGCATGTGAAACATCTTCAGAACAATGACAACACCAACAATAAGGAATCTAAATCATCAGCAGTACTTCTATACAAAGAGGGAACCTCGGATACCTTACGCAGAATTCTTAGTAAGGCGGGCAGGAATAAAAGTGGCTGACATTCAAACCACCCACAAACTCAATTAAAAACAACCTTTGTCGGTTAAAGGATCAATCCTGTCCGGCCTTTAAAACAAAACAATTTAGTTTATCTAATATCCCTCCCGTGATGATAGTCGGGTCAAATACATGGGTCAAACTAGTAGAACAGGTGCAGTGAGTCAGACTAGCAGAACACGAAAAGATAGCAGCGAAATCTAGATTGGTTGACCCAAATAAGATAAGAAATCTACAGAATAGTTCAGCCGTAGATAGCACTACATGCAGTTACACACAACCATACAAAAGGATGGGATAGGATGACAGTTTTAAAATCTAATGCCACAGTTAAGTGGAGGGAGAGATTGATGACGGAAGCTTTGTTTATCGAATCAACTGCAAATACTTGTAACAGATATGATTCAACATTTATCCACCTGGATATCTGGGAAATTTTGCTACCCCTACGACAAATAGGAGAGAGCAGAGAAAACTATAAAACTCAAGTTTCGAAGTCGTGTGATTATAATTGATGATATGATTATGACTTACCAGCTATATAAGCTGCTATATTACTAGGTAAGGAGAATTAGGAAGGTCAGATACAATGTGGTATTAATCCACAGTCTCACTATTGGTTTAAGCCACATAGGCAGGCAGTGCTTGGCTGAGGTCTTTAAGATGATAAGGATCAACGGTTAGAGACAACTGGTGACATGGATGAAAACTTTACTGAGCAATCCCGATGCATCTACAATTTGTGATCTCCCGTGCTCATTAAATTCCTATTATTCCCCGAGTAATTATTCCCTTCATCACATTTCCAATAATAGTTACTTTTGCGATTTTTCTCTTAATCTCTATGCGTGTTATTATGAAGTATGGTAACTTGCACTTCTGTACTTTCGTAAGAAGTTCTATGTTTAAAATTCAGTTCAGAGCTTAAGAAGCCATTAAAATGAAGACAGTGTACTACGTCACATTATCCAAACCTACTGGAGGAGCAGTACGCTCGTCTAGATAACAAGCAGCTTTAAAGGTAGCCTTCGTAATGCACCGTATCTACAGTGCATAAGGGAGTATAAAGAAAGCTCATCCTCATATGTGTACCAAAATAACATTTAAGAAATAAGATGCTGACAGATGGTGCTATAAAACAGATGTCAAAATCGTACCTTCTCACAGAAGTCAACGAAGAGATACAATAGACTGGAAGCTAACAGGAACACTGAGTTGGAAATATCCCCATTTAACACCAACATGTATATGACTGACTACCTTACCCTTGAGATTGTATTTATCTTGTGCATGTTAAATGTTTCAATTGTATACCAGTTAGCCGTTGATTATTTATGATACTCTCCCTCAATTCACAAGTAGAATATCTCTGAACGGTTGCCACCTTTGAAGCCAATACCACTTTTGACACTACTCTGACTCCCTAAAATCAAGTGGAACGGCCTAAGGTGGTGTTAGGTTGATATACCGAGAGGCCCCGAATTTTAATAAGATGGAATAATAGTGGGAATGACTGGAATGCACAGGACATTTGATTCGCTAGCTAATTAAACTAAACAAACAAACGAATGGCGATTAGGGTAAAAAGTGGTGTAGAGAAGAAAGACGCTGTTACTATCACTGTCCGTTCTATGCATGAGCCAAAATGTCCATGGCCCTGAAAAAAAGGTAGGATTTGGAACCCAAGACTGGTGGCCTGATTACTTTTGCAACCACACACACACACATACACGGACTTAAACCATTAATAACCTGAACATACCGGAATTCTGTAAAAATAATTAAACCAGGTTCTTGCATCTCCAACAAGGTAAAACCAACAAATACTTATACAGCATCTTCCAAGTGCTGGGAGAAAGGTATAACAGTGAGCACCAGAAAAGCAATTAAAGGATAAATTTACAATGGGATCATGGATTACGGTAATCGTAGAATTATCAGACTAAGTAGTCTAAACATTTAAGGTAACTATAAAGCATAGGTACCCAAAAGAACTACTCAAATAAAAGGACTTAATGACCTCGATCAGCCAATCGTATGAGCCCATGGGAAGCACGCGTAATTCAGAAGACTTTTATAAACATCAAAGTGCTAAGAAATAGTTATACTTTCTCGTAAGCTTCCGAAGAGAACCTCCTGACTCCTCATTAGAGTCTCCAGCTATAGTCTAAGCCTATTTCTGTACATAAATTTATTCAGATAACTCTAAATCATGCTGTTTCGTGACTCATTCAATGCTCTATAACACCTGTGAACTTTAAAAAAGGTATGACATAGGTCTCGGGAAGATTTTCTGTAACAGTCTGCGAATTTGTTGAAAAATCCGTCGACAGAGCCTACACACTTCTGTAAAGACTCCTCCACGTATCCAAGCTTCGTATCAGCCTATTATCCCGATAGTACTCATATACTATCTCTTGATGGAATTCGAGACCCAATTCGCTCTTACCAAGGTCTCATCTGACTACTCAACTCAGTTTATTACGTTCGTCTATCTGAGTCATTCATCCAGGTAGCTAGAGCTCAGAGTTACCATATTTAGATTAACAACTTATCAAACCACAAGACACAAACTTTCATCCAGGCAGGTTGGTCAGTGTCATTTATTAGCTGTAATATTTTGACATAACCAATTGGAATCTGAAAAACACCATGGACTACTGATAGACGTTTGTCAATGTTGCCCTACTAGACAATGCAA